TAAATAAAAATTTTAGAAGGTTTTTGCCTTAGGGCATGTGCACTCATCTGAGAGAGAGAGAGATAGAGAGAGATAGAGAGACAGTGAGAGAGAAAGTGAGAAATCCCCCCCACGCACACCCAGGGTGGATGGCCACACCACAATCCCCTCTCCTCCATTCAGGATCTTGGGCACACGCACATGTGTCCAACGTGATTTTTAAGCCACTGGTTCTGGAACTTGAACCATGTTTGTCAATATGGGAGTCCAGCGATGTAACCACTACGCCATCTGCTGGTCCCTCTTTAGCCCCCTTTAATCTGAACCATTTCCACAGGCTTTCTTTGTCTTTTAAGATACTGATATATTTTAAGAATATATTTCCAATATTAAAGAAATAAAATATTTCTCATTTTTTGTTAATATTTCTCCATGATGGGACCAACAGTTAGTGTAATGGCTATGTCGCTTGACTCCCATGTAGTTGACCATGGTTCGAGTCCTAGACCTGATGGCTTAAACTCATGCTGGGTGTGTGTGTGCGTGCGTGCCCAAGATCCCGAGAGGTGAATGGAGGAGAAGGGATTGCGGCGTGGCCATCCCCCCTGCGGGGTGATTTCTCCCTTTCTGTCTCTCTGTCTCTCTCTGTCTTTCTGGCGACTGCACGTGCCCTATAGCCAAAAACTCTCCAAGAAAAAAAATTTCTCCATGTGGTAAAGTATACATAATATGTCTCCACTTAATATATACCGACTGTCTGCACTCTATGGTGGAAACAGAAAGATTAGAGGACCCCGAAACATTGAAAATGGCTATGGAAACAGTGTGGGAAGAGGGTGGGAGAAGGGGGGGAAGGGAGAAAAAAAGAGAGGAAAGCCATTTATGGGATGCAGAAATTGATTATCTATTGATGATAACGTGTTTTGTATCCTTACCTGGACTGGTGTGAAGTGTATTAATGTTGAGTAAATTCAATTCACAATCTAAAGGATGTATAGTGATTAAATGTATAAAGTAAATCAAAATTTAAAAAATACATGAAAAATTATGCACGTAACTTGTTAAGTATATTTTGAGATTCTTCAAGATATAAACACAAATAATGTGGATTATTTTTAATTGTTCAGAGGCCTATTTTTTAAAAATAATTATTTATTTAACTTTACTTATTTATTAATTTATTTTTGATTTGACCAGGGAGAGAGAGAAAGTAAAAAAAAAACAAACCCACCAGGTCTGGAACTTGAACTGTGGCTGGCCATGTGGGGGTGTCCAGCCCCTTAACCACACCACCCACTGGTCCCCCAGAGGCCTATTTTAACAGTGGTTCCTCCATTTATATAACTTCAGGTAAAGCAAGTAATATTAAAATAATAAAATTACCATTTCGGTTATTTTAAATTTTCTCTTTCTTTTTGTTTATTTATAAGCCATAAGGTGCTTGCCATGTAAGATCTGGCTCCTTTAATCACCAGGCCATGGGACTAGTCCTAGTCATTTTTTTAAAGAGGTTTTTGCTATAGGGCACGTGCATTTGCCAGAGAAAGACAGAGAGACAGAAAATACGAAATCACCCCCTGTGGGATGCCCACATTGCAATCCCTTCTCCTCCATTCTCCTCTTGGCATTTTGGGCATGTACACACATGTGCCCAGCATGAGTTTTAAGCTGCTGGGTCTGGGACTCAAACCGTGGTCAAGTATGTGGGAGTCCAGTGATGTTACCATTATGCCATCTGCTGATCCCTTTAAGTGTACAGTCAGTGGCATTAAGTACATTCGCACTGCTGTGTAACCACCACCACCATCTATTTCCAGAACTATTCCATCCTCTCCAACTGAAACTCTGCACCTATTAAACAATAATTCCCCAATTCCCTCCCACCTCAGACCCTGGTAACCACCATTCTCCTTTTTTTTCTTCATGAATTTGACTATTTTAAATGGAATCATACAATATCAATCATTTTGTGTGTGACTTATTTCACTTAATATGATGTCTTCAAGGTTAATCCACGTTGTAACACATGTCAGAATTTCCTTTTTTTTTGAAGAGGTTTTCGCCATAGGGAGCGTGCGCTCACCAGACAGACAGAGAGAGACATAGAGACAGAAAGCGAGAAATCACCCCCCACGGGGGATGGTCACACCGCAATCCCTTCTCCTCCATTCTCCTCTCGGGATCTTGGGCACGCACGCACACGCGCCTGGCGTGAGTTTTAAGCCACCGGGTCCGGGACTTGAACCGCGGTTGACTACGTGGGAGTCCAGCGACATAGCCATTATGCTAACTACTGGTTCCCAGAATTTCCTTTCTGTTTATGGCTGAATAATTCCATCATATGTGTAGAAGTTTATGTATTTTTGATTGGAATTGTCTAATAGATGATGTTGTGTCCTTCTCAGGGCATCATATCTATCATCGATGATGTTAAATTAAAAAAAAAAGTTTAATTTAATTTATTCATTCACTTATTTTTTAAATTTGACCAGAGAGAAACCACACACACACACACACACGCAGAGAGAGAGAGAGAGAGAGAGAGAGAGAGAAAGTGAGAAAGCAAGCCATCAGGTCTGAGACTCTAACTGTGGTCAGCCATGTGGGGGTGTTCAGCATCTTAACTGCCATGCCACCTGCTGGTCCCGATGTTAATTTTTTTTAAAAGTTCATTTGTGTATTTATTGAGACACAGAGAAAGGGAAACAGAGAAAGGGAGAGGTACCCTGACAGAATCTCATCACATGGTGAGCCCCACTTCCCCAGCCTTTTAACTAGCCAAGATCATAGGCTCACCCATGGGCATGCCCAGTAAGTTCAGGTTGACCTAGGATCTGAACCTGGGGCATCCCATATGGCTCTAGTATTACATAGTAGTATCCTATCACTTGTGCCACTGTGGTTGGGCCAGTGGTGTTAATTTTGATCATGTGGTCAAGAGGCTATCAGGTTTCTCTGCTATATAATTACTCTTGTTCTCTCCCTTGGAAATAACAAGCAATTCTGTGGGGAAGATATCTTAAAACAATGCAAATATCCTTTTCCTTATAATAAAATTCTCAGGGTCAGCAGATGGCATAGCAGTTATATTGCTTGACTTCCACACGAGACTGACCGTAGGTTGAGTCCCAGACCCAGTGGTTTGAAAATCACTCAGGGTGTCTGTGTATGCATGCCCAAGATCTTGGAAAAAGAATGGAGGAGAAGGGATTGCAACATGGCCATCCCCTGGGGTGGTGATTTCTTACTTTCCCTCTCACTGTCTCTGTCTCTTCCTCTCTCCCCATGACTGCATGTGTCCTAAGGCAAAAATCTCCAAAAATAAATAGACAAACAAAATAATAAAATTCCCCCTGGATTTGGTATCATTTGATGATTCTTGTCTGATCCATTTTTTACTTATTTTCTATTTTTTTAAAAGAGAGATTTTTGCTATAGGGCATGTAGACAGACAGACAGACAGAAAGGAAGTGAGAAATCACCCCCCAAGGGGTTAGCCATGCGGCAATCCTTCATTCTCTTCTCAGAATTTTGGGCATGCACACATACACACACACACACACACACACACACACAAGCACCCAGCACGTTTGAAGCTTCTGGGTCTAGGACTTCAAACCACAGTCGACCATTTGGGAGTCCAGCGACATAAACATTATGCCATCTGCTGGTCCCGATCCAATTTTTACTGAGGTATTTACAAAACACTGATTTTCCTACTCTAGAATTCTGTCTCCAGTTGTCAGTTGGCACTTCACATTCTACTTTAAGTAAGAACTACCCCTCTTCCCTATTGATTGTTAGTATGGACTCACAAATTTCTACTTTTTCAGTCCTTTATAATTCATCACTGTTTTTAATTATTTTGGTGCTCAAATATTCCCAGATTTGGCTAATGGGAGGCTCCTTCCAGTAGATCCTGCATATTTATGACATGCCACCATTGATTTTAAAACATTTCCTGACTTTGTGGCATACAAAGATGTTCTAGGCTTATCTTGTCCTTACATTGTCTCAGGAATAGAAAATAGCAAATACATCCTTCTCAAGCATGTTTTTCCCTTTCTTTTTTTTGGAGAGGTTTTTCACTGTAGGGTGCGTGCGCTCGCCAGAAAGACAGAGACAGAGAGACAGAAAGCGAGAAATCACCCCCCGCCCAGGGGGGATGGCCACACCGCAATCCCTTCTCCTCCATTCTCTCGGGATCTTGGGCACACACGCACATGCGCCTGGCGTGGGTTTTAAGCCACCGGGTCCAGGATGCGAACCGAGGTCGACTATGTGGGAGTCCAGTGACATAGCCATTAGGCTAACTGCTGGTTCCCAAGCCTGGGATCCTTTTAAGGAGTAAAAAGTACTGGGGACCAAGATCTGAGCATTAGATGTGCACACATTCTTACTGGGTTGTATTTGTCTCTTGACCCTTTCGATAGACAGAGCTAAGAAACTTATGCCACGTGTACACATATCTGTCCATGTCCACACACATACATATATATGCACATGACGACATAAACTTGCATATACACACATATGGATATATTTCAGAAATTGTGAGTTCACAGCAATATTTCCTTTTTTTAAAAAAAGGTTTTTGCCACAGGGCATGCGCATTCCCCAGAGAGGGACAGACAGAGGACAGTGAGAGGGAAAGTGAGAAATCAGCCCCTAGGGGGATTGGCCATGCTACAATCTCTTTTCTTCTATTCTCCTCCTCGGATTTTGGGCACGCATACACACACACACACACACACTCATGATGCTGGCGGCTGGAAATTCCAAAGGCATAGAATTTGCATCGGGCTAGCCTATGTCAGGACCTGGCTGACAAAAGCAGAAAGGATGGTGAGTGCATGCGGAGAGAGAGGGGCCAATATTTTCCTTTGATAACAATCCACTCCTGCAAGAACTAATCCTTTCTCATGAGAGTTAGAGCTCAATAGTTCTTGCAAAACAGAATTAATCCATTCATGAGAGCGATGCCGCCAGGATCCAATCACACCCAGGCCCCGCTTTCCAACGCTATCACTCTGGGGATCAGATTCTAAAACATGAAACTTTGAGGGGACAAACCATTGCTCAAACCATAGCTTGGTCCCTTCTTTCACGGTGAGAACCCTGAGCTCATTCACATCAGCATGTTTACTCATCCGTTCAATCCTGTGATGCTTCTGAAATAGCTTCAGAATTGTTCTGCCCGTACGACTCCCCAAACCAAACCTATTAAAGAGAATCCAAGAGTTGTTTGCAGTTCTGATTGCTTCATAACCCCACCTCACCTGGGACTGGGGGTTCACAAGTTACTTGGATTCGTACCTTCTCCATCTCCATCCATCCCTGCTTTAAATGAAGTTATGGCATTCTTTGAAAGAAAATGGAGTGTTTTTTTCTTCAGTTTAATTTTTTCCCTTCCCATTGTTATTGCTTAATCTTTTTGTTTTGTTTTGTTTTAATTACCTTTTTTTTTTTTTTTTTTTTTTTGCTATAGGGCATGTGCGCTTGCCAGAGAGACAGAGACAGAAAGTGAGAAATAGAGAAATCATTTCTTGGGGGGATAGACACACCACAATCCCTTCTCTTCCATTCTTCTCCTGGGATTTTGGGCATGCATGCACACACACTTGGCGTGAGTTTTAAGCCATTGAATCCAGGACTTGAACTGCAATCAGCTAAGTGGGAATCTGATGCCTTAACCACTACGCCACCTGCTGACCCCACTTAATCTTATTTATGATCACGTTGAATATTAATATGCGTGTAGAAGTCAAAAGTATCCAATAATGTAAACTTAGAAGCGTCGCTCCTTCCCGTATCCTTTCTGTACTCTCTCTCTTCAATCCTTCACTTTCTTGTCATAATCAACCTTGTAGTTTTCTGGTGTGTTTGACCCACGTTTCTTCTTTTAAAGATAAGCAGATACATGGCTATTTTCTTATTTTTCTTTCTTTCTTGAACAAATGGGAGATGACTACATACACTCTTTTTCACTTTGCTTCTTTAATAGGAGTATTTTTTTTCTTTTTTTTTTTTTTTTGAGAGGCTTTTTTTTTTTTTTTGAGAGGTTTTTGCTATAAGGCGCATGCACTCGCCAAACAGACAGAGCGAGACAGAGAGATAGAAAGTGAGAAATTACTCCCCGGGGGTATGGCCACGCTGCAATCCCCTCTCCTCCATTCTCCTCTCAGGATCTTGGGCACACATGCACACGCGCCTGGCCTGAGTTTTAAGCTACCAGGCTCGGGACTCGAACCGTGGTCAACTACATAGGAGTCCAGTGACATAGCCATTATGCTAACTGCTAGTCCTGAATAGGAGTATTTTCAACATCTACCAGGATCAGGACTACAGTGAGATGAGAGACACATTCTGGTCACAAAATTTAAGGCGTCTCTACTGAGTTCTGCCTAGAGGAGTATGATAGGTGAATAAGAGTATATCTAGCAAAGAAGAGAGATGAAAGGCATTTGAGACAAAAGGGAACAGTATGTGTGAAGGCAAGGAAGCATGAAGGAACATTGTTAATAGCTTACTGTAACTAAAGTAGGGGACGTTTTTCAGAGAGTTCCTGGAGAGGAGGCTGATAAAGTAGAGGGAGACCAGGAGACCAATCGTCTTTAGTCTTAAGAGCCTGGGTTTTAACCAACAGGCAGTAATAAGCCCTACAAGATTTTTTTCACACCCTTGCTGGCATTATTCACTCAGTCAATGAGTTCCATCAACTCCACACTTCTACAATGGCTCCTCTTGCTCCTCTTGAAGTTTTTTCACTTTTCTTTTTCTTTTTTTTGGAGAGGTGTTTTTTTTTTTTTTTTCTTGAGG